TTGCCCTGACTTCCATTTATACACCTCGATCATATCGCCCCTCACTCTACGTCTCTCGAGGGAGTGCAAGTTAAGATGCTTTAACCTGTCACTGTACTCAAGGTTCCTAATGCCCAGGATTAGTCTTGTCATTCTCCTCTGAATTCTCTCTAGGGATTCTATATCCATTCTGTAGTACGGTGACCAGAATTGAACTGAACTGCTTAATCCAGGTGAGGTCTCATAAGCGCAAGATATAGTCTTAGGATGACCTCGCTAGTCTTGTAATTAACACTCCTTTGTACGAACCCAAGTACTTTGTTAGCCTTTTTTCGAGCAAATACACATTTTTTACTTGGTTTAAGATTCCTACTTATCATGACTCTTAATTCTTTCTCACAGTCGGATTTCCGTATAACATCGTTGTTCATCTGGTATCTGGTTTCTCTGCTTACATCTCCTATACTGAGTACTTTACATTTGTCCACGTTGAATTTCATCTGCCATTTTTCAGACCATTCGAAAAATTTGTTTAAGTCTTCCTGCAGTTTTGCGGAGCCCTCGTCAGATTTAATTACTTGCTCTATTTTAGTGTCATCAGCAAATTTACTTATGTTGCTGTCTATGCCGATATCTATGTTGTATATATATATATATATATATATATATATATATATATATATATATATATATATATATATATATATATATATATATATATATATATATATATATATATATATATATATATATATATATATGCAAGTAAATCACTGTAGGTGCACGTGATCTAGGTATATGCTGATAACCACAAGGAAATAAGAAAACACGAAGTTCCCAAGCGCTTTCGTGTAATTCACATCTTCAGGGGTGAGTACAGTCTGTACTCGCCCCTGAAGATGTGAATTATCTATATATATATATATATATATATATATATATATATATATATATATATATATATATATATATATATATATATATATATATATATATATATACACAATCAACACCTCAACCCGCCAGGATTCGAACCCATGGCCCACGAGCCCATGACTGTGACCTCGTGGGCCGTGGGTTCGAATCCTGGCGGGTTGAGGTGTTGATTGCATATAGAAGTCCACGTGCTTTATTGGGCTAATAATATATATATATTTCATTTTTGGTCCATATAACACGCAGACTTTGAGCATATAATCAAGGACCTCACCAGCCAGGACTCGAACCCTTGACCTAATGCATGGGACCAGGGAACGCTACCGACCATACCACAAGAGCACTAAAAGCAGTTCTAGGCTATGTATCACCAGTGCCCAAGTCAACCATCCCACAATCCTTAAATCAGCTACGACCTATTGCAATCACCCCAATACCCAGCCTAATCTGTGAAAGTTTTGTGTTCGACTGGGCTTATGCTGATACTGCTAAGGGGTCGTAGACCCTCAGCAATTTGGCAATATGAAAACTTCCTCCACCACTCACTGTCTTGTCAGCTTTCTCGATTACATATACCGCCATCTCGAGAAACGAAAAACGTCTGTAGCTGTCGCCTTCATTGATTTCACTAAAGCATTCGACCTAGTCGACCACAATATAATCATCAAAAGCTATTGACCTCGGGCTTCGGAGAAGTCTTATACAATGGCTTACAGACTTCCTCAGTGACCGACGCCAAGCTGTACGCTTCCGAGGGGCTGTCTCCACCTTTCAGTCACTCACCTGTGGCGTCCCCCAAGGCACCAAGATGGGACCACTCTGCTTCCTTATGCTTATCAATGATGCCCTAAGAGAAATCCCCGCTCGCTGGAAATATGTCGACGACTCCACAATTGGAATCAGCGTCAACAATTCTGCTCCCGACTATACCGCCCTTCAAGATTTATTGAACAGTCTCCAAAACTGGGCCATCAACAACCACGTCACCATTAACCATACCAAGACCATGGTTATGCACATCAACCTCTCCTCCGGCATTGTCCCACCCCCTTCCATTACTTTCGGTCCGAACACACTCCAGGTTGTAGATTCCACGAAGCTCCTCGGCGTCACCATAGACAACAAACTAAATTGGAAACCACACATCAGTGAAGTTGTCAAATCCTCCAGTTTCCGTATCCACCTCCTCCGCCGACTCAAGTCCCTTGGAGTTCCTGCACCCGAGCTCCTCAGTGTTTACTCAACATTCATACTTCCCAAGCTCACCTATGCCTACCCTACCTGGTCTTCCTCCCTAAATGCCACACAACGTAAACACCTAGAAAAAGTGCAAAATAGGGCATGCAAGATTATTCTCTCCCCTTCCTACTCCACATATCAAGAAGCGCTCAACACACTGACCCTTTCGACTCTCACTGACCATCACCACGACCTCATCTGCAAATTTGGTAAGAAGCTTCTGCACCATCCTCGACACCGGCTCCTACTACCACCTGAGATCCCTAGCCCGAGAATTGCTGTTCGACACCACAACCGCATCCAGCCCATACGTGCACGAACTGATCGCTATAAGAACAGCCCAGTCCCAACCATTGTAAAAATTATCAATAACTTGTAATAAACCAGTGTATTCACTCCCAGTAAATACTACTTCTTGCACTGTCACTATGTTGAAATGCCCTGTAGTTTGAGCTTTTCCCCATCTAGTTATTATATATCTTATTTATATCACTTATGTTATTTGTATATTTCTGTATTTGTAATTGGAAACCCATTCCCCAATTATGAACTGTATATTTTCAGCCTTCTGGCTGCCAAGCTCTTTCAATAAACCGTTAATTATTATTATTATTATTATTAGACTATGTGATATTTCACACAAAGCCAGTTCATCGAGCTAATGGCGCCGTGAACCTCTCATTGGGAACTGCCCTTGCTGCTTATGTGGATGTCGGTAGCATTTTACCGAATCCAGGTGGTATGAAACACGAGGTACCATGTATACTTCATTTTTAGTCCATATAACACGCGGACTTTGAACATATAATCAACTACCTCACCAGCTAGGACTCGAACCCTTGACCTATACAGACTCCTCTGTGTATATACACCTTGATTTGTACTTTTCCTTAGTCTGTACTCACCCATGAAGATGTGAATTCCACGAAAGTGCTTGGGAACTTCGTGTTTTCTTTTTCCTTGTGGTTATCAGCATATTTATATATATATATATATATATATATATATATATATATATATATATATATATATATATATATATATATATATATATATATATATATGCAAATAAATCACTGTAGGTGCGCGTGATCCAGGTATATGCTGATAACCACAAGGAAGATGTGAATTACACGAAAGCGCTTGGGAACTTCGTGTTTTCTTTTTCCTTGTGGTTATCAGCATATATATATATATATATATATATATATATATATATATATATATATATATATATATATATATATATATATATATATATATATATATATATATATATATATATATATATAATGGTCCAAGTACGGAGCCTTGGGGTACTCCACTAGTGACGTTACTCCAATCTGAGTAATGCTCACTCGCTGTTTCCTGTCCTGTAACCGCGCCCTAATCCATTTTAGAATATCTCCTCCAATACCATGAGCCTCCACTTTTCGTGGGGGACTCTGTCGAAGGCTTTGCCAAAGTCAAGATATACCACACCATAGTCGTTCCCGTCGTCCACTGATTCGAAAACAGCTGAAAAGAATGTTAATAGATTAGTGAGACATGAACACCTGCTTGTGAAGCCATGTTGGGAATCTTTGATCAACTTGAGCTTCTCCACACACACACACACACACAAAAATAAGTTATAAGATGAATCATGTTTTTATATATAAATGTTTATGTATTAATGGATGTGATTCATTTTGTACCTTTCTTTGGCTTAATAGTTTACATACTTTTACTTTTTAATTTTATCCTCTTCGCCATTGATCAGCTCATTAGCCACTTGGGCGGTCAGTCAGGTCTCTGTTACACTCTGTTGGCAAGTCCGGGGCATGTACTGGCTCCTGAACGTATCTGTACCAGTGCCAGTGTTGGTCAAATCTGGTTTTGAAAGAGCTCACTCTCGTTGCTGTCACAACACTGGTAGATTGTTCCAAGAGTTCACAATTCTCTCTCTGAAAAAGTTTGCCCTCACATTTTTCTGGGCTTGTGGCTTCTTCAACTCGCTATACTTGTTATACAGTAATAAAGATTTGCAGAAAATATAAATTTGAATAAAGAATTATATTTGACTCTATAGATGGTATCCATAACCCATACAAAACACAGCTTAAATATCACCTGCAGTATGTAAGGATTTTATGCTGTAAGAATTATGTAAATTAAACATTACTAATTATGGTAAATATGATAATAGTAGTTGTCTCCAGCACTCGAAACATATTAACTGCGGTGTCCTCAGCCTTGATCAGAGAGACACTTTAAATGGTATTGTCTTAATGTTAATTATAAAACTTGTTGCTTCCTTGATACTTACAATATTGGTGTCAGGCGTTGTTCTCAGTAGGTGGAAGGGCAACAAGTGCCCGGACGGGGATATCCACCTACAAGTTGGCAGCGATAGGTATACAGTACAAATCAACCAGACTCCCTGTGCTGCGTGTGGCGCACCACCAACACCGCCTAATAGTGTACACTGTTGATAACGTCTTACTTTTGGCGTTTGTTTGTTTAGGTAAGATCAGGCGTAATTCACACCCCAGCTGACAATACTTTTAATTATGTAAAACTGCTCACTGTTCTAAGTAACAAATGACTGGCGGAGCATGTTACCTACATCATAACCTAAATTCCCAGTGGCCTGGCAGCAGTGTAGTATTGCGTGACAGGTTGCCACGGCTAGTCTCACACCCGCTAAGTAGGATCATCATCACACTCGCCCTGGACCGGTACACATTCATACTCCGTTATAAGCCTGCCATCTTCAGCTTGTTTCGTGCACTCTCACCGTTGCCGTGTGTGTGTGCGCGCGTCTCTAAATACGTAAGTTTTCGTCAAATTTGGTTTCTTTTTTATAACAATAACAAGTAACTGCACAAGAGAGGACTTGTTGGAATATTTGTTCTCTAATCGTCGTGTTTCTTGGTGTATAAACTTGATGACTCGCGAAAGTCCGTTTTCATTCGTTTTTATTATTATCCCGAGGTTCTTAAGAGTGTCATTTGGAACGAATTAGGATTCTTGAAACATAATGTCACTGAGCTTGATATTCATTGAAGAATATATCTAAGTAATAAAACCGATATGCTTAAATTCATCACAAGAAACTCCTCCGCCATATTGCTCATCAGAAAGAGAGAATCATTTAAGAGACTCCAAGATGGCGCTCAGTGGTGGCTTCGTCGTGTAAAGGTAGCTGATGATAGCTGCTGTAGTGAAGTGAATAGTCTTTTTATTAGTATCGCAAGGCAATAAATGACAACAACAAAAACATAAAGTGAAAGGATTGATGTACAACTAACAGTTTCAATTATTGCGACTGTAATACGTGAAATGTGGCGCGCACTGTAGTGGGGCTGAAGACAGGTAAAGGTAAGTCAATATTTTTATGTCGAAGTATAATAATAAGTTCCTAGTATTTTGCCAGTTTTACTCACGCTCACTGGGATCGATAGGACTGTGCCTACGTACTGTAGGTGTTTACCTCTGTATGCCCGAGGGCGGGAAGAGATATCTTTTTCATGCTTGACATGTATATACCGTTTTACGTACTGTAACATTGTCATGTCACAGTTCTGTACAGGGTGACCATCCGCCGAGAGTTATAACTTGAGTGCACTCTAGTTTTATTGGTTGGTTATCGTATACTTACGCTAATAATAGCTTCGTACAGTAGCCATGTAAATGTGCTTTATGCCCTGTTTTTCCTGTGTGTACATATTAGTGTTGGATGAGTAGATGAGGAATTGGCCTGTTTTCTGGGCGACCCTACACTTGGCTGTGTGAGGAAAGAAGGATATATTATAACGGATTTTTCTAGTGTGACCGATATCCATAGAGAAATGGTGGGCACCGCGGGCAAGACGAGTGTTATGAGCCCACGGCCTCGCCAGCGGTACACAAGATGCCAAATCCACCGAACATAGCCCTTTAAAGTTCCTGTAAAAGAGAGAGTGAAGCAACATTGCGGCGAAGAGAAATGGAAGAAAGATTATCAACTAAAGGAGGAGCGTTAATTAGACAGTTCTGTTAGTTGAAACTTCGAGGATATAACACTACAAGAACACGGTTTACGGTGTCTTAAATATTTTTGACCGGTAACAACCAATAAACATTCTGCTCTATAGAGATAGTGAACTATGACTCTCAAGGTAAGACCGTAAAAGGTTTCCTCTGACTGAAAATGGTCGAAATTACTATTAAATTGCATCGAGACTTTACTGTAACTGTTACTTAATTTACCTCTTCTTGGATAACAGCATAATATAACTTACGATCTTTTCAGAATATTGGCACTGAACGATATATGATTCCACTTATGTTTACTCAGCATAACCTGTGCATTTACCTGACCGGATAGATTGAAGGGTACACTACTCACCAACACTTGTGCAAGATGAGAACTATGTGGGCGTGGATGTTTGTGAATGTGGGCGTGTATGGGAGACTGTTGGACGACGACACCACCAACAAGGACCACATCGTGCCCTCCTACACTCCCCCACAATCAGCCTTGGACCTTGATGCCTTCCACAGACGAACAGCTCAGGTGAATCCTTTTTTTGTATATGTTGGTGCGTGTGTATACAGTATGTGTGTATTTGTGTGTGTGTGTGTTTTGCCATATTGAATTTTTTTGAAGGAATGTGCAAATCAGCTCTAAAAAATGGGCTCTGCAAACATTTCTATATCTTATTGTTTATTGTCAAAGTCAAGCATTCACTTTGCTGAACAGGTAGCCACTAACGCCCGTAACTACCCGCTGCCACTGAGGGACCAGGCGAAGACACTCACACACCCGGGTTTCGGGGACGATCATGTTGCCGCTGACAGCACCTTGACGAAAACGCAGCAAAAAATGATCCATTTACTGCAGGAGCGTGACTGGAGGCTTGTGGTGCGCGACCCAGCCTTCAGGGAGCTACTGAAGAAGGAAATGGCACGGTCTGGTGTTAATTCCCACTCCCCTGATTATGACATCATTATTGATACAGCTGCTACAGCGGCCGAAAGAGTCGAAAAGATGACTGAAGGTGACGCCCACAAGCTGGTGGAGGACATAGCGACGGAGGCCCAAGGACTTGATGCAGAAAGGGTTGCAACGCTGTACCAATATAATGATAATGGCGTTGGTCGGGAGGCTCGCCAAAGAAGTATTTATGATGTCAAAGACGATGTTAAAAAAGTAAAGACTGCATCACGCGGGAACTACAACTTTGAACCTCCAGCACCTTTTGCTGTCCTCCCACTGAAGGACATGGTGGGCATCTTTCAGTCTCTGAACCGTGAGTACGGAGCTTCCATTTACGACTCCCCGCCATCCTACAGCCCGCCCAAGTCCTCAGGCTATGACCATAAACCCCCTAAATATGTTAAACTGCCGCCAATCAAAGGCCCTACCTACTATCCTCCCCCGCCTATCGAGATCTGCCCTTCAGGACATGGCGGAGTGTTCGCCTTTTTTGCCTTTATCACCCTGACACTGACCCTCATGATTGACTTCACTCTCTCCGTCATGGTCAACATCAACGCCACAGGCATTGGACTTGGTGGAGGAGGAACCAACGTGAACAACAATAATAACAATAATAATAATAACAATAATAATAACAATAATAATAATAATAATAATAATAACAACAACAATAATGGTCGTGCATTCAACATGTTCCCTAACAACTTTGGTGGACTTGACATTGACTGGTTGCTTGTGTCAGACCTGGACGTAATCGCCCATGATCTCCCCAGGGGTGACAGACAGCCCAGGGACGCCTCGGCCTCCACCCCACGCCACTTCACATCTAACAAGGAGGGCGATGTTAAGAGGCCCAGAACAGTCTTCGATATATGGAAAAAGGCTCTTCCATTTGGATCCATGTTCATCCTACCACATGCTCGAGGTGAAGTCGCCACAACAGCATCAGAACTAGAGAGCTTTGACTTTCTAAGGCTTTACCCAATCTATGAGCCCCCACCTGCCCAAAGTACAGTTTTAACCCACTCCCAAAACGAAGAGGGCGAAGGATCACACGATTTTGATGCTTCTGCAGATACAGATTTAGAACTAGGATATAAGGATCGATTGGAACTCTATGATTCACTTTACCCGTTTGAGTATCCGGTGCTAGACGAGACACATAGCATGCCTAACCTCACGGACTCCCTTAACTCATACCTGTACTTGATGCCAGATTATGGTCCCAGACAATCAATTTATGCTTCCCCCACAGTTACCATGGTTACCACGACAATTCCCGTATGGTATAACAAAGAGACGATCGACAGTAATGGCAAGCAGAGCGAGAAGCCCGTGCTAGTTAACAGTAGAGCAAGTCGATCTGAGCATTATAACACCAAGAAAAAAACGGAAGAAATTGACATCGAAGAAATGCAACAGGAAGATAAGGACAATTCACAGCCATGGCAGCTCCCCGGACCCAGAGGTAGGGAGGCACAGTTTCAACAACACCAACGTCTGAGACGAGCACAGCGTTGGCAGAACACCAGGCCCGAGGACGTCTCCACCCACCACTATCAGGCCTTCATACTGCCAGGCAACAAGGTACTGTACTGTACTGTACATGCGTTGTATTGTCATTTTGTGCTTGTTTTAATTTATTAGTAGTATTTACTCTCCATTTATTGAATATCTTTCTAGTACATTTTATACTGAACAAAATTTTACTGATTTAAAGATCTAAGGTTTTACCACATATCCTTCCCCGATTTAGCAGATTTAGAAATAAAATATGTTTTTAACCGATACTGATATCGAGATAAAGCCAATAACACTATAATATAAAAAGGTCGGGATGAGTGACGTGGTAAATTGTGTTGCCAGGTGAATCTACGACGATGGTGTGTGGAGGGGGAGGAATGTCATGAAGCAGCGGTGCGGGCGGCGTTCCAGGTGACGAGGGGGTACATGCTTGCCCTCGCCGAGACTCGCCACTCCTGCGCTCTTTGGCTTCTCTGTGACGCCTCCGCCAGAGCCGCTACGGAGGGCGCCGTTGGGATCATGGCTGCCACACTCGCCAGGTGAGAGCGTTCATGAGTGACAGTTTTCTTTTCAATCCCATATATAAATTGTTGTCATGTGTATACAATGAATACCTTCGTCGTGTAAATTATAGTCATGTCCATATTTTTCAGTTAAGCTAAAACATAGTATAAATAATTAAGTACACTTATCTCTGTGGTGGTGCTCAGCGGGATAGTGAGCCAGTACCCTGCTGTGGTGTCGGGCGCTGACCTCCGGGCGGTACTGACGGCCAGAAATGTGGGGCTCCGCACTGCCGACTGCTCCAGGTTCTACGTATCGGGCTGCAACGTCGCCAGTTACAATTACGAGGCCACCTAACGCTAATGTACATAACAACCATCACCCCGAGTGTTTGCACATCAACACTGTTCTTTATGTTACTCAGTGAGACTCTGTGACCTGAACTCCTTTTCTGCCAAGTGATCGCAGACACCACTGTAAGAGGCAATACATTTGTTTTACGAAACAAGTATTAGTGAGATAAAAGTGTTCCTACCTCGTGCTTAACCATAAAACATCGGGGATCAGGGGGATAACGAGTGCTTTAAAAAGAGTAACCCTACTCTACGGGCTGCATTTAATGGCCATCCTGGTTTATTGGTTAAACATGCACTGTTTGCACTCTTTTGCCAAAAATATCATTGAATGTTACTCCCTGAATACTTGTCAACAATATCACAAGTCTTTTTAGTATACATTGTTTGAAAATAAAATACAAAAAGAAAACTCATATATTCATAAAACAATGCCTGTTAATTCTATCTTAGACTTTAATAAATTCACAGAAGTGTTTTATGGAACTCTAACAGTCAACATTTCTGGTAGTATACATACAGTATATTGTGGTTACTTGTGTTAATTGTCAGGTTCCTCCATAATTATGAAGTTACTTTTCTAAACTGGGATTTATCTTTCAATCTTTTTTTTTTTATAGAATATTTCACTGCTTCTCTTTCATTCTTCGTTTAAGAATGTGTAAACCAAAAATTTACCATCTGTCTTTACTGTGTGTCTTATGAGATGTCGTTATACATTGCGTCTCTAGATTGCTGTCTCCTCGCCTTGCCGTTCGTTACACAACCTTGTGGAAGATAAACTAGCACCAGCACTCTTTCGCGCGGACAATGATGATAATTATATAGTAAACTATTACATAAATATTTTATTTTGCAAAATTTCTTACAGGTGCGTACAAATGATTAGGTCAGTCCCATTTGATCACATTCTAGGTCACTGTCACACATAGGTTATAAAAATTATGTTTGCTGTCTACTTCATGTACTGATACACTATAAAGCAACATTAAACAATACTTTTTTTAAATATTAAAAAAATACCCTAAAGGTAGAGTTATTGGTATTGGATCATCACCAGGAAAAGGTATAATACATTTGGTCATATTTGGTGAATTTAATCATCTACAACATTCGCCAGACTCAATATGGATTCCTTTATCAGGACGATCGTATACCATATCATTACACCAATAAAAACAAATTCTTGGTAACAAAACTCAACCAAAAGATCACCACTGTAAACATGATGTCATTAGAGGGTATAGCTATAAATGTAATAGAATGATTTATTGTTTGCTTAGGTTTGTTGACGATACAAGAGCATTTATTGCCCCGAGAGGGACGTCCAAACTGTAATGTACTGTATGCACCCAAAACAGTGACATCTTCAATGACGTCCCTGGTCTCTAAGGATTGCGATTTGCTTGTTTTGGTAGTGTCCGCTATAGCAAAGTGTCCCTCACCACGTCCATGACCTCATCTAGAACGGACTGGTAGACGTGGGAGGGGAGCTGCGGGCCGCGGTACACAGCTGGGTAGCGGTAGGAGTCAGGGAGGGCGAAGCACTGGGAAAAGCGGAAGGCACAATCCTTCATCTTCGCCCCTGTCTGCCCAGCCGATCCTACGTCAGCGAACAGCGTCGAATTCACTTTCAGGAGCCACGATCCAGCGTTCTGACTGTTGATATAATCAATAGGAATGTTTAGTTATAAAAGACAAGAAGAATGTTTTACTATACTGCCGCCTATACACAACTCTTAAGGAACATTTGAGAGAAGTACTGTAGTAACAAGGAGTTGGAGTAGAATACGGAGGAAATTGAGGTACAAACAATAAGACTTTTCTGATCAAATGCCATATAGATTCTCAACATAGGCTCTTCAAAAGACTGAAACAGCTGAGCATCACACACACACACGGCGGTCATTTGCGTTTACGCCTAAACATTCTCCGGTTGTATACGTATGAACACAGAAACTAATTTAGCGTATACCTATCTTATATATAAACGTTCAGAATATGCAAAGTAAAATGTACACAATTTCCTTTCTTAAATATTGCTGTTCACTTGCAGTTTCCAAGTCAGTGGGAATACCTGATTTCTAATGGCCTTGCGATGTGATTTGTCCAGTTCTGGTAATTATTTCTCTTCAGCTTCTTTTTAGATTGTACTTCCTTATTGTCTTATACCTTGACCAAGATTCGAACCTGGGTCATTGCGGCCCCAACACAATCAACTATATGATCACAGCTATCCTCGATATGTACAGTATTGCTTACTGACGAAATGTCCCATATTATACAGCGGCTAAACCAAAATTTACCCACTGCTCAGTAGTCGACCAATATAGCAATCGATAAAGTTAAGAGTAAGAGTTGTGAACTCTTGGAATACTCTGACAGAGTGTTGTGACAGCACCGAGCGTGAGCTCTTTCAAGACCAGACTTGACCAACATTGGCGCTGGTTCAGACGCGACCTACACCACAAGCAGCTAACAGACTGATCACTAGCAAAGTGAAGTATATACGTATCTGAAGTAAATAAAAAGTTTAGCTGAGCGTGGTGGGTGATATCTTTAAAGTTAAGGACACAATTCGATGGGTGATATTTACCTCAATAGTGGTATTTCTCTATCCAGTGTCTGTAGAGAGTGAGTGTGTGTTGTGTGACCTATGTACAGTCTCATCCAAAAGTTCGTTACTCTCCCAGCCAGCTATCGCTGCACTGCTTGCTTCAGATGTTTGAAACTGTCTCAGTACCAACCAAAACATGAAAACGATACGAATGAATCCAAAGGTTCGAAGTAACAGACTTAAGTAGGTAGTAGGCAGCTACCAAACAGGGAGGTACTACCTCCTGGAAAGATATTGGAAGCATAATGTATTGTCTAATGGTAGACCCTGCTGCCATATGGCATCACGAAAATTGTGACCAAGTCCCAGGTTGCTGATCTGACTTTCTGCCTCATTTACACACAGTTGCAGGGTCTCAATTGTTTCGCTTACCATTGGCAACACAACATACATATATTGTTTTTCACTCTTGATCTTTTTTTGCATTTTGGTATTTCTTTATTATTATTATTATTATTATTATTATTATTATTATCATTATTATTATTATTATTATCATTATTATTATTATTGCAGTGTTGTTATTTTTATTATTATTATTTGTATTTTTGTATTTTTCATTTTAAAATTTACTTATCTGAATTATTATTATTATTACATTTTCACCCCCTCCCGGCCCCGGTGAGGGTCAGTAACCTGTGCCCGGGTGGGCTAATCCCCGGAAAAAAATGACAAGCCTCAGAGAAGGGAGTCGCGGTCGAAGTGAAGGAGATGGCTGATGCGTGACGCCAGGCCACGCCTCCTTGTCTCACCTGGCAAACCTTCCAAGAATTGTAAAACGGAAAGAGCACGGACCAGAAAATTGAGATTTAACTGTGCTGTAAAATATGATTGCCGTTATGTAATCGTGGGATATATAACGGTTTATATTCACAACCTCTTGATGGTGGCGGTGCGTCACCGTGCGTGTGACTTAACGTGTAATTGCATAACGATTGCTGTTATTCCCGTGCACTTCCTGTTATCAGCTTGGTAAAGGAAGGAATTCCTTTTTTTGTGAAACTTTGTTGGGTGTGAAATTGACAGATTTAATCAGTTTTAATGCCCAGTCAGCGCATTTGTCAACCAACGAGCAGAATAGTCATCATCGCACATACACTAGGAGGACCAGGCAGTTGAGGCAACACTCACCTGGCAACGTTGGCGACGACCTCCCCGAGCTGGCCAGCAGCGGCAGCCTCCTCGGCTCCCTCACACAGGAATCTCTTAGCACATCCCGGGTCGTCGGTTGCCAAGGCGTTCAAGAATCCTCGTAGGAGACTGTAACTGGCTGAAGTGGCTTGCTGCATCTCCACGTCCTCCTGACATGACCACAAATGAATTGATACGTTAGAACGCGCTGTTGTCTTTGGTTGTTCCAACAGGAGAAAAAATTCATCTGCTTATCTTTCTCTGTATGGTTGGCATGATGACCATAGATATGCAATCAGTGAATCGTCATACACAAGATAGGAAGTTATTAGACTTGTTTATGTGCAGATTTAAGCAACGTTCATTCTATTTTGTTGTACTGTTTAGCTCCGGAGGCTGAAAATGTACGTTATATTGGTTGCAATAATAAGTTAAATTAACCTCAGGTCAACAGCTCAACAAAGAATATGCACGACGCAATCGCTGCTAACACCTTCACTTTATTAGTCCCACCAATTCCTGGATCAACTTTATCTACACAGCGGTTACTAACACATATACTGTACACGGGTGTTTGCAATACACACGGCACATATACCATAAAACATATCTACCCTACTATTACACCTACACCACTATTATTTACACCAAACCAACATTACTTGCGCAACAGGGTTACCAGTTCCAGCAATAGTGTTAATACTGGCCACTGTTACTTGGGCCAGGAGGTCCTCACCTGACAACCGAGAGTAAGATCAGTGTCGTCTTCAGCCGCCCTCCTTCGCCTGGTTCCCCCTGTATTGTTCATGGCTTGGAGCTCAAGGATGAGATCCAGCAGCGCCAGCAGAAACGCTAGGAACCCGAAAACGCTGAAGGAGTCGCTACAGCCGTACATCCTTCCCTCCGCGCTGTACCAACACACACGTACACTTGTTAATGGTCGGAATTTAATATGGAGTCGGATTATTGTTTAGTCATCGTTGACAGATATTTGATGGCGGTTCACAACAGTTTGGTAAAGGTATGGGAAATGACAGGGTGGTAGGGGAGCTCGCAGGTATTAGTTAGGGCGGAGGCCTGGCAGGCGTAAGAGATGGAGAGGCGGTATTGGTGGTAGTGTGAGGGTGTTTATACAAGCTACATTACTTATAAACATGAATTTTGTGGTTAAATAAATATTTTTATTAGAGGTGAAAACAAAGGATGTGCGTTGTGGGGATCGAAACAGAAAGGATTCACATTATACAATAAAGTGACTTTCAAGCATTAGATTAACACACGCAATGATAAGCACTTCTATCTCAGAACAATTTCGATATCCAATGACACCTTCCGCAGTTCAGTGTACAAGGAAGAGTAAGTCTCATTCCTTCTTTTAATGTTACTTGAAGGGCATGCATTCCTCATGTGTATCGTAATTGTATTGTAATAGCCTTTTCTCTCCAGCACTGTCGGCTTTACATGTAGTACTTGCAGATGTAGGCACAGTACCTTCTAGGGGGGCGGGACAGGTGATTCTGGATCTGCTGCAGGATGTTGCTGTAGAGGACCAATATTCCCTGTTATTATACCTCACAAGAAATTAACATATCACGGCTGTTACTTATCAATATACCTATACACTGATATTTAGAGTCATGAGTGACATTTATACTGTTTCATAATGCTGCAGTAGATATACCGTGGGTGTTCATGAGTGATACGTTGGTAATGAGAGACGTTATCTCTGCCTCAACTGCTCATTACAATATATTGAACAATGAACATACAGTACTGTGTATTTTTCGGCCGGAATTGACAGTTTTTCAGTTGGTGGTAACGTACTATAATCTATATCATAAGACTTAAGGATCAAAAGAAAACGGTTGTTTGGTTCCATGAAACCCTCCGGTCAATACAATATCAACATTATCTCACCTGGCTATCTCGGACCTGGGTATGTTGTCACTGTCGACGTACTCTGCTTGAACGACGCTCACCACCACCACTAATATCACCACAGTCTTCACTGGAACCACCATGGTTAGTTCCTTCTGTGTAGTGTATGAAGAGACGATCTCGCTCAACAAAAAAGAAGTCAATGTTAGTTTTTCTTGAGCGTTCGTAAGTTAAGTTAATATTTTATGGCAATATTATCCTTGTAATCATCGTAGACATGATGGTGTTTAGTTATATTAGCCCCTTTAACAACTTTTGAATTTTACGCAACCGATTTAATTATAACTTATTGTAAATGAGCATCAAGGACCACTAAGGCACGTGCAGCGTCAGCAGCTCCAGCTGAAATGTTAAACAAACTCAGAGCTTCACTCCTCAAGTCAGCTCGGCCGACTCCTAGCGGCCACCCGTACAAGGTGCGCGTTACTGGGTCATTCTGGTGAACGAGCACCAGGGACCGGATCCTCAAAAGTATTAACAATATTTTATCTCCCATTTAACCCAAAACAAAATATCCGCTATCTTGTGACGTCACATTGTATGTGGCGGGTACTCGGCTCACATTATCATATCTTTCTTACTAATTTCTTAATTCGTCTATTTTCTCTTTCACTTGGAAAAGAGGAAATGGGGTACGCCTTTGTGTATATAAAAATAAGTTGATAGGACCAGACTTGACCAGCACTGGAGCAGGTTCAGGTACATTCAGGAGCCGGTGCATGCCAACAGTGTGCTGACCGATCTCCCAAGCGGCTAACGAGCCCATCAGTGGTGAAGAGGATAAAAGTACAAATTACGTTTAGGTATTTCCCAGGAGATATTACGCATAACCAAGAATTGTTGTGTTGTCATAATGTCATTTACGGTTCATATTCAGCACAGACATTTAAAAGCGTTCTTCAACTAATTGCATTATTTTAAGTTGTCAGACATATAATATCCTATATATATTTGATAAAGTTCATTAAACTTATTAAGCTCTCGTCAATGCTATCATGATGCAACATTTAAAAATCCTCTACAGAGGTTCGTATTTTGTTCATATATACAGGTTATATTAGATATTTAAATTTTTAATAATGTTATAAGATCATGGAAACATACAAGAAAGCAAGAATTTATGTATTTATTATACATTTTGATGAAATATATATTATAAATAAAGGAACTGGGTAAAAATATGCAAATAAGTACTCTACTATACAGTACGATAGTGCGACTCGTTTATAGAAGACCAATATAAACATAAGGATTAAAGGCCCGAGGAACAAAGCTGGTTGTCAACGTAGCACAAATAAGGTATTTGTTTGTAATTTTTGTTGTATATTTGCATCAAACTAACTGTGTCAAAATCATTAATTATATATTTTCATGGATTAAATTGCAAAACAAAAGATTTTTAATATTTGGACTCTTTGAATGACGATTGTGGTTAGTTCAAATTTCCCCCAAGCAAGTCCTTGGTTATCAAATGTTATCCATAAAAGTCTTTGGAAAGGTTGTACTGTAGGTAGTGTGAGTACATAAATTTATATACAGTTTACGGTTAAGCAAAGTTCCATTTATTTAATCCTTAGTTAAACACATTATTGACATGGATACTGTCATTAGGTACTAGATGAGAACAAAGGCACTTAAGTTAGACATGCTAATAGATTTCCTAAAATTCTTGAAGCCCAATTAAACACTCAACATCAACATTGTGCTGTAGGCCTCCCTAGATTGTTTTGTAAGTATTATTTTAGTTTCGGTCATCCTGAGAATCTTAGGAATTTAACCCCTACCAAAAAGGGGCAGTGTGGGGAGCCCCTCTGGTTAGGCTAGATATAGCTCCTGGGTTATGTTGCTAGGTTAGGTTAAGTGAGGTTGGATATCTAAATACTGGGATGACCAAAACTAAAATTGACTAATATTCGGTTAATATATACAGTAGGACTAACCCGCAGACGAATTATTTTTATAAGTTTATTTTCTTCAATTATTTTCATCAGTGAGTTCTGATATGATAATTATTTATTGTGGAAATTGTTCGTTTCATAAATTAATTAGGTGCCTAGGCCCGCACTAGTTTGTCTTGTGAGTGGTAATGAGGCTGCGCTCTGCTGAGGGGCTTTTCCCTAGCCCGGGGCAGTTTGTATTTCAGCATGTCGTGTGAAGGTTGTTGTTGATCTACATGGAGGTAATTTGTGAATTTAGGGATAAAGACAACAAGACCCTACAATTGTTTAAAGATCACGGCATTGTTCCTTTACATAGAGACTGTTTATTTTCTTACATTATTTTCATCAGTGAGTTCTGATATGATAATAGTTTATTGTGGAACTCGCCAACACAGTAAATCACTCCGCTGCCCAGTGTGCATAGCGCCGATGCGGCCGTATCATATCTCGTCCAGAAAATGCCCAAATTTTTCACCATATCACAGAAAGTTCTTTCTACCGGGGTGTTGGGGGGGTGCTGGTAAGGAAGTTAGGTAAGGTTATGGTCTGTTTTTCATACCCACAAATGTTAAGTAACGTTAATTTTTAAAATAAAAGTTTTTTAACATATTTCCACAAACTACAACAGTGTCCACTATAATATAACAGTGAAAATCCGGCATTTTTAAAATTATTTTTAATCAATTTCACTTGCGGTTTAGTCCTATATAATTACCTAATATTCGTCCATTGGCTGTCTGCAGGTTATCAATATTACAGACACAAAGACTATAAAAAGCAAAATACAACTTCATATAATTTCTTGTGCAAATCAATATTAACAGAGTACAGTTAACCCTCACTTTACGCGGTTAATGTAACCCGGAGGGTACCGCGGAAAGCGAGAAACGCGTAAAGTGAATAACATAACATATGGGATTAATTGAAATGGAGTCCAGGCCGATCCCCAAACTCCACTTTTTGACGACACATAACTATGTTGTAGTAAAAATAACATCTTAATTTTATGATGGTACATGCACACAATTAATACTTAAGAGAAATAGAGAAATACAGTCGCCAAGTTAATGCCCATTCAAATAATGGACACGACTCCCTCCCCCTCTTCTCACACTACACTGCTGGCTCTTCCCTCTCTGAGAAATTTTGGGGGGAAAACCAGGTACAGTATAGTAATAAATAATACCTCAAACTAAAGTTAGGATAATATAATTGACATTGCTGGATTCCTTGTAAGACCAGGAATATTTTGAATATAAATGTCATATAATTTTCACAAAAGATAACATATTTACTCAGATTAAACATTACATCTAAAATTTGTATGTCTAATGCAAAATCTATGATGTTTATATTCAAAATGATCATCAAATTGTAAGAATTCCAAATGTAAATTATATTCTGGCCGGGTAATTTGTATGAATTTTATGAGCTAGTTAATAAAAAAAAAATATTCTTCACAACACTATCTGTCAATCAAAGTACCCCACCTTGCCTCCCCCCCTCTTCCAACCGCGCGGTCAGTCCCAACCCTCCCCCCCACCCCCCACCAATCCTCCCTTCAAGAGAAAGAGTGGGTGAAAAAAATAAATTTTAACATTTTGTATTAAATAATACCTCAGATTAAAGTTAGGATAATATAATTGACATTGCTGGATTCCTTGTAAGACCAGGAATATTTTGAATATAAACGTCATATATTTTGCACAAAAGATAACATACTTACTCAGAGTGAACATTTTATCTAAAAATTTTATGTCTAATGCAAAATATATGATGTTTATATTCAAAATGATCATCAAATTGTAAGAATTCCAGCAATGTAAACTATATTCTGGCCGGGTAATTTGTATGAATTTTATGAGCTAAAATAAAAATCTTCAGTTAATAAAAAAAAAAAATATTCTTCACATGGTAACAGATGGTCGGTCGCCGGTCCCTCCCTCCCATCCCCCCAACCCCCACCAACGTCCCTACTAGATAAATGTGTGGGAATACCAGACTGTTTACCTTTTTAGTAATAAATAATAAATCAGACTAAAGTTAGGATAATATAATTGACATTGCTGGATTCCTTGTAAGACCAGGAATATTTTGAATATAAATATCATATATTTTGCACAAAAGATAACATGTTTACTCAAGAGTAAGCATTATATCTAAAATTTGTATGTCTAATGCAAAATCTATGATGTTTATATTCAAAATGATCATCAAATTGTAAGAATTCCAGCAATGTAAATTATATTCTGGCCGGATAATTTGTATGAATTTTATGAGCTAAATTAAAAAAATTATACTTCACCTGTGTAAAGGGGTACACCCACCGCGGAATGTGAGCATCCTGGGTTCTGGCAGGGCACCGTGGAAACGCGGAATGTGGGACCGCGTAAAGTGAGGGTTGACTGTATCTCTCAAATTTCTAGGCATAAATTTCTGTATCCGCCATGTCACCAGAGTCACTTCCCCTTTGTGACATGACAACCAAAGTATCATTTCATGTGACTTGGCTGGCCAATCATTTTGAAGGCTCATGTTTTTGTGCTGTTATTCAATGAGTTTATTAGAACAGTAGTGAAGCAATCCAAATATTACGAGATTACGGTGACCTACCAACATCATCACTGTGTCCTACGTGTGGAAATTGTTTACTTTTAAGAAAAGACAGAAACTCTTTTGTCTGTAACCATATGTGTACCAGATTGCCCAGCTGTATCCTCCACCACAGTAGCAGGTAAGCTCCAAAAAATGGTTAGGTTTGGGTAAGTTAGGTTAGGTTATGTTTGATTAGGTTCATTTATTTTTTGGTGTTTTTTTGTGTGTTTTACTCAAACCTGACCACCATTTTGGTGCAAATTAAAGGTTTCTGTTATAAATGAAGATGTTAATTTTTTTCAAAAACCTCTAATTTGCACAAGAAATGAGGGTCGGATTTGAGTAAAATGCACCGTAATATACTATACACCCAAAAAATATATATTTGTATCAAAATCTGAGGACAGCCAATGGATGAATATTTACCCTAAAATTTTACCATTTCGTTAACAGTGAATCTCTAGAAATCAAAGTTAAAAATCTTTCAAAGAATTAATGATCGTCTTTATCTCCCGAAGCTGGAATTTTTTGGAAAATTCCGGCTTTGGGAATGATTTTCCGAGAAAATTTCATTTCTGGCTATTGGAGAGTTCCGGGTTTGAGGGATTCCAGCTAACGGAGATATTACTATACCTGACATCAAGGTACCTGTACCGTAATTTCTTACTGCGTTATATGCTGGGGCGTCCTGGAAGTGAGATAAGGTTAGTTAGGTTTTGGTTCCACGGTAATAATAAGAGTTATATACATAGTTCCCAGTGTTGACAATCCTCCTCAATATTTAAAATCACTTGCTTAAGTGCAAAGCCATAGTTAATTTCCTTTTTTTAGATACAGTATTACTTTTTTGTAAAATATTGTTCTCCAGTAACTGTATATATATTACAGTGCTGTACAGTAAGTTCTCGCTTAACGTTGAGGTTACGTTCCCGATAAGAAATAGATAAAATATGGGAGTTACGTTCCTGAGCCTCCCTTTGCCCCATGAAACACATTACCCATACAGAAATTCAATGGCAGTTTTTATAGAAAATAGTATACGTACAGTATATATATATATATATATATATATATATATATATATATATATATATATATATATATATATATATATATATATATATATATATATATATATATATATATATATATATATATATATATATATATATATATATATATATATATATATATATATATATATATATATATATACTGTACGTATACTATTTTCCATAAAAACTGCCATTGAATTTCTGTATGGGTAATGTGTTTCATGGGGCAAAGGGAGGCTCAGGAACGTAACTCCCATATTTTATCTATTTCTTATTGGGAACGTAACCTCGACGTTAAGCGAGAACTTACTGTACAGCACTGTAATATACATATATGCATATACAGTCAACCCTCACTTTACGCGGTTAATACAACCCACAGGGTGCGGAAAGTGAGAAACGCGTAAAGTGAACAACATAACATATGGGATTAATTGAAATAGAGACCTCCACTTTTTGTATGTTGTAGTAAAAATAACTTCTTACACACACAATTGAGAAATATCAATATTAGTATCACTATCCGACCACAGAGGCTTGCAGGGCCTCTTTGTCAAACCCCTCAAAGTCCATATAAGTCCATATCCTCACTATAATTATCACTATCGCTGACTTGGGCCGGCTGTGGTGGGTGGCGGGTGAAGAACTCTGTAATGTTTTGATGACTGGGCGACCTTGTGCGCATCCTGCTCGCGCTGCTCTCCGCGTAAAAGGGTACATGCACCGCAGAATGTAAGCATTCCAGTTTCGGCAGGGTACCGCGTAAACGCTGAATGTGGGACCGAGTAAAGTGAGGGTTGACTGTGTATATATATATATATATATATATATATATATATATATATATATATATATATATATATATATATATATATATATATATATATATATATATATATATATATATATATATATATATATATATATATATATATATACAGTTAACCCTCACTTTACGCGGTTAATGTAACCCGGAGGGTACCGCGGAAAGCGAGAAACGCGTAAAGTGAATAACATAACATATGGGATTAATTGAAATGGAGTCCAGGCCGATCCCCAAACTCCACTTTTTGACGACACACAACTATGTTGTAGTAAAAATTTTATCTTAACTTTATGATGGTATGAAAAAACAAGTAATATAGAAGAGGTTAGGTTAGGAAAAATAAAGGTTAACATAGGAAAAATAAAGGTTAGGTTAGAAAACTAAAAATTAGGTGGAACACTTACGGTAGTAGAAGAGATGGGTCGGCATACGGGGATGGAGGCTGGTTCCGAGGCAGAGGGCAGATTACTGGCCCTCAGGTGAATCACCATTACTAGGTGAATCACCATCACTGTCACTTACAGTTGTCAGGGCTTCCCTGATAAATCCCTCAAAGTCATCTTCACTGCCACTATCACTGGCTTGGGCTGGCTGTGGTGGGTTGCGGGCGAAGAAATCTGTTATGCTTTGCTGACGGCTGGCGTTGATGTTGTCGTGATACACCTTGATGTACGGCTCCATAGCCTGCACCAGCCGGGTATGGAAGACTTCATAGCGGTCATCGTCATTGTCGCGGGAAAGGAAGGACTTCATTTTCTCTGCACACTCCATGGCACCCTTAATATCACTATGACTTAAACTGTGTTCTTCGGAGAATGACGCACCTTCTTCCTCCTCTTCACTGACGTGTTCTTCTTCCAACATCTCGTCGGCAGTCACTTCAGGATCTCTGATCACCTCCAGGATATCGTCGTTGGTGGTCTCGGAGAAGCCTGGAACTGTAACAGTCTGCGCAGCTTCTCTGGCAAGGTCCACTGCTACTGCAACATTGTGAACCTCACCAGTCACAGATTGACTCCTCCTCTCACCTGGTATTCCATGCAACACATGTCTCCATGCGTGACGAATTGTAGCAATAGACAGCTGATCTCATGACTCCACCAAGAAGTCCACAGCTTTCTTGATGTTAAATACTCTCCAGAATTGTTTGAACAGTATTTTTTGCTGTTCCAACTGTTGATCCTCATCTTCTTCGCTCTTACGGTCAGCCAGTGGACATTTAGCTTGGTCATGTCCATGGTTTTGTAGGCGTGCGGCTTGCGTGCTGTGTGGATCACCGATAACTTGAGCTTACAGGTACCGGAGGCATTGGTGGTAAACAGGACGGTGATGCGTTCCTTCTGCATTTTCCGGCCCCGAATCCTGCTGGCATTCTTTACAACGAAGGACTTGGAAGGTAGCTTTTTCCAGAAAAGACCAGATTCGTCCATGTTAAACACCTGGTCGTCACTGTACTGTCCTTCCTCCATAATCTCACGTAAAAACGGAGGAAATTCCCGAGCCGCAGCACGATCAGCACTCGCTTCTTCACCACCAATGTTTATATTGGTGATCTTGTTCCGGATCTTAAACCTCTGTAACCACCCAGAGGAAGCATTAAAGGGTTTGGGCTCTGTAGTTCCCATCTTTCGTGCCACTGCCATGTACAGTTCACGTGCGTAGTCCTTAACAGAGCGCGTGTCGACCGCCATGTTCCGTCGCGCCTGACGCACCAAGTACCTCACAAGTAATTTTTCTGTCTTGAGAAGCACCTGGTTGTGAAAATACTTGATCATAGAAGCACCTATAGACTTTGTGATCTTCATGTGCTCCTTTATCTTGGCTGCATCCTTCTTTATAGTCCGGATCGTAGATTCGTTCACACCATGCTGGCGCGCCAAATCAACCTGCCTTGTTCCTTTCTCCAACTCTTGGATGATGGTATACTTCACCTCGTAGCTTAAGGAACGTCGTGTCTTCTTTGGCTTAGTGCCGCTGGGTCCAGGTAAGGAAAGGTTTCTCTCTGGGGGTGGTGGTCCAGCGGAAGCCATTTTACGGAACAATGGATGCGCGTTTACACGGAGTGGCCTTGAGGGATGAAACTGCCGCAGCTAGGTCAAGCGTCGTCTTTCCTCCCTCCCTCGCTCCCCGGGGTGGACACGTCATAATACTTTAAGCCAATTACAGCTAGCAGCAGAGGGGGGTAGGGATGCATGGCCAATCACAGGTCTGATACGTCATATGACGTCAGTGATAACGCAACAAAGACACATACTGCGCAACCTTACCGTGCCGCTTGCCCAAGCGGAGGGAGGAGGCGAGGAGCACAGGCAGGCAGGCGGGCGGGTGGGGCGAATCTAAAAATAGCGTCGCGCCGGACACTCTCCGCGTAATGGGGTTCACGTACCGCGTAATTTGAGCATGTGAGGTTCTGGCAAGGCACCGCGTTAACGTGGAAACGCGGAATGCTGGACCGCGTAAAGTGAGGGTTAACTGTGTATATATATATATATATATATATATATATATATATATATATATATATATATATATATATATATATATATATATATATATATATATATATATATATATATATATATATATATATATATATATATATAGCCTAGACCCCGACTTACGACTACGTGGACTTACGACCGTCGGGACTTACGACATAGATAAAAAAAAAAAATTCAAATGACACACGCATTTTCTATACCGAAACGTTTCCAGTTAATGTAGTCTCCATGTATAATTAGAAAATTATGGGGGCCCCATGTGCATTCAGCTGACTACATTAAAGGTTAAGTGCTCAGTCACACTGTATCCATTCCTTATTATTTATTACTTTCACTGTACTGTATCCATTCATCATTATTCATTACTTTTACTGTACTGTATTTCATTGTAGATTTTTTATTTATCTATGTCGGACTTACGACCTGGATTTGGGTCCCTAACCCCGTCGTAAGTCGGGGTCTAGGTGTAGTATAATATATATATATATATATATATATATATATATATATATATATATATATATATATATATATATATATATATATATATATATATATATATATATATATATATATATATATATATATATTTAGTTTGTATTGGAACTCACTCATGGGCGGCGGAGGTGGTGGAGCGAGTGTGTGGTGGGTAGTGGAGCGGAGGAGGAGGGTGTCGAGTCACTGAGACCCGGCAGGTGGCTCCTCCTCCTGGTTTAAAACCTCCATTTTCGTAGCAAGGCAAATGGTCTTATGTTGCTTCTTCACAACACTAGCATCAGTAGCACTTGATGGTCTCTTGGAAGCCATTTCAAATGGTTAGAGTACAGTATTTAGAGCCAAAACACTTAAGCACACATGAATGATGTGGAAGCGTAACAGAGACTGTCTTGGTGTCGCTTGGGGACACTGTGACGTTCTGCGCGCCGGGCCCAGAGAGGGTGATGTGCCGTAAAAAGTACTCCATGATGACGCAAAAAAGAGGTTGAATTGAGTCGTCGGGACTTTAAATGAATTAATTATTGGTATCTAAAGAGTAGCGACGTAGTACCGAAACAACGTTAAGCTGGGCGACGTTATACAAGGACTTACTGTGGTACCAAATGAAAATGATCCATCTGTTCAGTTCTCTTTGAGCTGTTTTAAGTACAGTACTGTCGTAGCTGATAGAGTATGATGTTAATCCATTTATTAACAAGGACATGAACCAACCAAACTTAATCTAACTGGTTTGGTTTGGTTGGCTCATTTTTGTCAGTTTTAGTAGTTTGGATTTGTTGAAGTAAGAAATAACTCATTGATTATTTTTTGAGGTAATAATTTTTTTAGTATAGTACAGTACAGTACAGTATTTTAGTCTTACGTTGAACCAAGATTTTTTTAACTAAAATAAATTTTCATTTATTGCATACCATATCACCAGCTGAACACTGTCTTGTCTAAGCAAGAATACCGTAAGCCACTGAGTGCAAGTCTGAATTTGAACACTGTACGTATATATTAAGGTGACAATGCTGAAATAACACAATGCCCTTCTATTTATTCTACCGTATGTAATACAACTTCGAACACCATTGTTATATTTTTTTTTTTTTTCAGTGAAAGGAAAACAAGAATGGAGACTCCTATAAAACAAAATGGTGAAAAGGAGGATATTAAAAAGCCATTGTTAGTTGACGAACAGAATGGAAAAAATGGGCATGAAGACACCCCAGATGCCAAGGGAGCTACAACAACAACAGATGCTGGATCCCGGGGAAATGTGTAAGATATTACAGTATCTTGATGTGTATAGGAGAGATACTGACAATAAACAGTTAGAAGAACGCTTGATGAATGCCTTTACAAGAAGTTATGGAGGACTAACTGAAAAAAATTTGAGGTGTAATACAGTATTTAAAGGAACTATTCATTTTGTGCAAAATATGTAAAATTAGTACAGTACCTGTATATACCAGATGATTTACTTTGCCATTTTATGTACAGTACTGTATAACAAAAATCAGTCACTATTGAGGTTGAGATTTTGCCAGATTTAAGATTTTACTATTTAAAAAAAAAAGTTATGAAGCATCTCTGTGTGCACATTTGTTGGTGCTCTCATTAATGGCTGCAAGAACTGGTTGCTGCTTTTGTCTTGTTGACAGAAATCACTTTTATGCTAACTGATTCATAGGCAGATAGTACAGAAATATCAGAAGGGAGGGGTCCAAGAAGTTGTGGGTGGGGGACCATGGTGAGCACAGTGAGCACAGCTGGGGTTTTTTTTGAGGGGGGGGGGGGCACTTTTAGGCACCCCCTCCCTCAGATTTTTTTAAATCTGACCAATATCATGGGCATTTTGAAGCCATGTGCACTTGATATTAAGAGATAATCTGATGTCAATAGTAATTACTTTTTACTATACAAAATATCTGATGGGATGAAAACTATCCTACCATACCTTTTTTTTGTGTGTGTTACATTTATATGATATATTGTTTTTGTGGAGGTTTACTATTCTTTCATAGCTAATTACATGTGTTCTGTGCCTAGCTTTTGTACAGATTTACCTTATTTATTTTTAAGTAACTAACACTTGAAATGAAATTTTACACCTTCAGAGGAGGGGTGATCCCAACTTCAAGTCTAGCTAGAATGTCAGTTGAGAGTGAAGCTATGCGTTATAGTATTACTCACCGTCGGCGTGGACATTGTATAATATTCAACCACCGTGTATTCGACCGTGTGACTGGACTTGGGGTAAGTACAGTAATCAAAAGAGAATAACAGTTCTGAAAATACTGTGGAAAGCCTTTATGAATTTCAATAAAATGCACAATAGAGCTTTGGAATGAGTTGGTGTCTGGGAAGATGCTGAAAGTAAAGCATAATTTCTTGAGAAGGTAACGCAGTGTCTGAAACTAGCGTAAGTGATTGTGTACAGTACGGTAATTAAATTGAGAAGCAGGAAGTTGAATGGGTTGCAAGGAGACTAGGACTATTATAGAGGGAGGACTATTATAGAGGGACAGAGTATGGGATTGAGTAGGCTATATGGCTGGATGGAGAATACTAGGTATGTTGGTACTGTGTACTGCACAATAATATGCTGATACAATACTATGTAGAGGAATCCCTGCATGTAATGACTATGACTGTTTATAATACATTGGATGTCAGCAGGCACAAGGTGTTCTTATTCTTATTGTTGTGCAGTTATTTAAATTTGTTGTAATTGCACATTCCATTTATTATCTTTTAGGAACGTAATGGCACAGACCGTGACCGTGACCAGGTGCAGCAGCAGTTTATCGGAATGGGCTTTGAAGTCAAGGTCTTCAATAACTTGACTGTTGCTGAAATTAAAACTGAGGTCCAAGACTGTAAGTTGCATTTATATTCAAATTACAAAATAACTAAAAGGTTAACACTAAAATTGTAATAAATTGAGGCACCTTTCTGTTATCTGGCTATCCTAATGAAAAAAAACCTAACCGAGCGCAATAGCATGCCCTTCAAATTCACGGGGGTTAGGGTCTCAAAATGGCCGCGAATCGCCAAATCCGTGAATAACATTTGCTGGCCAGGAGGGGGGGGGGGGTGGCTGCATTTTTACTTGTACAGGTTGTACCTCTCTAGTCCGGCAACCTCAGGACCTGACAGGTGCCGGACCATGGAAATTCACCCTTTTCCTGGATAGATAATGACTTGTGCTTATGCTTGGAAGCACTAGCACCACTTTCACTGCATCATGGTCTCTTTGAAGACATATTGAAGGGTTAAATGTCGTATAGTAGCTTCTCAAATTTCGCGAGTTTTTAATTCTTAACGTATTTTATTGGAACACACACCAAAAAAAAATTTAAATTTTGACGGCGGAAACTTGAATTTCGACGGGTTTGAGCGGCCCGCCAACGTGCAGACTACGTGCATAATCGTGTAAACAGCGTCATTTCTCTTATGTACAAAAGATTTATTATTGTTTATTACTGAATGTCTTTTTTATTGAATTAATGTTTATGTGTGCAAAATGAGCAATACAATTCATTAATAATACATAGAATATTAAAACACATGAGGAAATGAGACAGCATTGTTTTTGTTGATTACAAAGCCAGTGATTGACTGGTTCTACATATAAAACTGAAGAAAATAAGACCTTGGTTGTAGCTGTAGTAAAACTAATATGGTTGTTTTAAGTAATGTTATTTAATGTTAATAAATGGAACAATAGAAGTAGCTAACGATAATGGTAAAGGAAAAAGAGAGATCGCGTATGTAAGTGCGCATGCGCACACGTGAAAACATATCGTCATTACTTTACATAAGAATATGAAAGCAACACTTATTTACTGTTCATATATATTTTAATTAATGTTTCTGAATTTGTTTTTATTGAATTAATGTTTGTGTGTGCAAAATTAACAATACAATTTATTAATAATACGTGGAATATTAGAGGAGACGAGACGGCTGCCGGCATTGTTTATGTTAAAGCTTACAAAACCAGTGACTGATTAGTTCTACATATAAAACTGAAGAAAATAAAACCCTGATTTTAGCTGTAGTAAAATTAATGTAAAAAAATTAATATGGTTGTTTGAAGTACCTGTAATGTTATTTAATGTTAATAAATGGAACAGTATAAGTCGCTAACCATTAATGGTAAAAAAAGTGAGACTGCGCGTATGTAAATGCGCACATGTGAAAACATATCGTCATTACTCTACATAAGAATATGAAAGCAACACATATTTACTGCTCATATATATTGAAGGGTTAAATGTTGTACTCTGTATAGACAAGCAGAGAGAGAGAGAGCAGCTGAACTGCTGGATGTAAACAAACCTTAATGCGGCTTTGTTTTTTTTTGTTTTTTAAGGGGATTAGCCCACCCGGGCATAGGTCACTGACCCACATTGGGGCCTGAGGAGCAAAAATTTAATACTCCTGTAATAATAATTCAGATAAGTTAAAAAAAAAAAAAAAAAACCTGCCTATCTACCTATTGGACAAACTAAAATCGTTCCGGACCACAGAATGCCAGACGAGAGAGGTACAACCTGTACAAAGAAATGTATATTCCTTTTTGTGTTTGCCCTAAGGACAATTATTTCTTGTACCTGTAGCTGTATTGTATAGTACGTATATGTGAACACACACACACACACACACAAAACACATACAAATAAATAATAATGGACAATTTCTCTCATGAATAATAAAAAACAACTTTATTAAAAATATTGAGTCTACCCTCAAGTCAACTCCATGCTATATTAATAACAAAGCACGGAGTGGACTTGAGGGTAAGCTCAACATTTTTAATACACTTGTTTCTGATAATTTGTGAGAGGATTTCCCCATTATTATTTATTTGTATGTGTTTTGTGTGTGTGTGTCTACACACACACACACACACACACACACACACATATACAGTACAATGCAAGTAAAGGAAATTACTGTCTTTTGAATGAATGGCTCCCTGTCCCTGCCACAAAAATGCCAACAACTTTAAAACTACCCTTAGACATTCTTGGGTACATCCAGGGTGTCAACCGTGAATAATCAAGGTCAGCGAATTAAAAATCCGCAAATTTGAAGGGCATGCTGTACAGTGAATTCTCCATTAGCCGGAACAATTGGTGCAGAACACTAGTGGGAATGAGAGATTTCCAGGTAACAAGTCGGCTCTCAAAGCTGGAGAAAAATTCCTCATCCCCAGAATTTTTTGGGCAATGGAAAAATGTTCCTAGAAGTTCCAGAAATTGTGCATTACAGTATGTCCCCTAAGTTGGGGGATTTTTACTTTGCGGTTCTCGGTTATTCGCGGATGACACCCTGGATGTACCAAAAAATGTCTATGGGTACTTTTAAAGTTGCTGGCATTTTTGCGGCTGGGACAGGGAACCATTCTTTCTAGAAAAAGTAATTTCCTTTACCTGTGTGTAGACACACACACAAAACACATACTTATAAATAATTATGGGAAAATCCTCTCACAAATAATCAGAAAGAATTTTATAAAAAATGTAAGTCTACCCTCAAGTTCGTGCTCTACTACTTTATTAATAGAGCACGGACTTGAGGGTAGACTCACATTTTTAATGAATCTGTTTCTGATTATTTGAGTATTTTTCCATTATTATTTATTTGTATGTGTTGTGTGTGTGTGTGTGTGTATCTACACACACGCATACATTTACAATACTACAGGTAAAAGACATAATTTTCCTAAGGGCAAACACACAGGGAATACAGTGTTCCCTTGATTAACGAGCACAATTGGTTCCACAAAGTCGGTTGTTAACTGAATCTATTATTTCAATGGGATATTGGGTAATTGGTTCTAACTCAAAGAAAAAGTACATACAAAGTACTGTGTACCGGTAATAGAATTAACAAAACCTTAAATATAAACTAAATACAGTACTGTACTGTACAGTATACTGTACAACAATAAATAAAAAATAATTGAAGATAGGTTGACAATCCCTTATCCGGAATCCTTGGGGCCAGATGTGTTTCGAATTTTGTAATTTTTCGGATTTCAGAATGGTTAGGTTTTTTTTTTTTTTTTTTACAGGGATCAACCCACCCGGGCACAGGTCACCGACCCACATTGGGGGGGCCTGGGGGGCAAAAATTTTGTAATAATAATAATTCATAGGTTTAGGACGTGTTTCTCACTTTTGATCTTTTTTTCATTCCTGTATTTCTTTATTATTATTATTTTATTACAGTTGGGTCTTCATTTACGCCCTCAATTGAACCCGTGAAGTACCGCGTAAAACGAGAAACGCGTAAATGAAATAACAGAACATATGGGATTAATTGAAATAAAGACTGGGCCGACCCCCAAACTCCACTTTTTCCGACACCATACGTACCTTGTAGTCAAAATAACATCTTAATTTTATGATGGTATGCACACACAATTAATAATTAAGAGAAATATCAATAATATTAGGTTTTTTAACACTTACGTTAGTAGAAAAGATGGCTGGGCACACGGGGATGGGAAGTTGGTTCCGAGGCAGAGGGCAGATTATTGGCCCTCACCTGTATCACTTGTATCAATTGTATCACTATCCACCACATAGGCTTGCAGGGCCTCTTTGTCAAACCCCTCAAAATCCATATCCTCACTATCACTAACTTGGGCCAGCTGTGGCGGGTGAAGAACTCGGTAATGTTTTGATGACTGGGCGACCTTGTGCGCACCCTGCCCGCGCTGCTTCCCGCGTAAATGACCAAATTTACCGTGTAATTAAAGCATTATAATTCTGGCAAGGCAATGACCAAACACTTTAACAAAACACTGCGTAAATCCAGACTCGACTGTATTATTACTGTATTATTTTATTATTACTGTGTTATTATTTTATTATTATTATTATTATTATTGTTATTATTATTGTTATTATTATTACTGTTATCATTATTATTTTATTTTTGTAATCGTGGTGATGAGAAGAAAAAGAGACACCCATTTTAGATTTTCTATGTACTGTATTATTTTCGCAGTTTCGATTTATGATCTGGTCGTCAGTCCCTAACCCCGTCGTAAGTTGAGGACTGGCTGTATTATCAATATGTTAACTAAATTTCAGAATGACCAATAATTTTAATGTAAAAATGCAAAAATATTCAAGAGACCAACAAACTCTATGTTTACTTCACTGTAAACAAAGTTAAACTGAGAAGCGTTGGCGGGCGATTCGATCAGCTGAAGTGCACACAAAAACTGTTCCCTGTACTGTATATATTATCAATATGTGAACTAAATTAAAGCATGACCAATAATTTTAAAATAAAAATGCAAAAATATTGAAGAGCACAACTTTCTCGATATTTACTACACTGGAAACAAATGTAAACATAGAACTGATTACTGTATTGGCAGACTAGCCGATCAGCTGATGTGTGCATCAAAGTGTGTTTCTCGTAAGGCTGTCATTAATAGAAGTTGTACTCGTTAATAGAACTGAAAATCCTTATGGGAGCTAATTCGTTAATAGAAATCTCGTAAATTGAACCACTCTTTAATTGAGGGACCACTGTTTATTCACAAGCAAAAATGTAACAACTCCCCTCCCCTCAACCCCCGTCCGCGTATTTGGTGATTCGCGACCATTTTGAGAACCTAATCCCAGTGAATTTGGGAGTCCCTGTATACCATCTCTGAAAGTCGGAAAAAAAATCCCTCATTCCCGAAATTTTCTGAGTAACGGAAAAATGTTCTCAGAAGTTTCAGAAATTGCACATTACATCATCTCTTGAACCTGGAAAAATATCCCCCCATCCCTGGAAATTTCCGGGTACCGGAAAAAAATTTGGATTTTCTGGAAAATGCGCCTGATTTTCACCTCACACCCGAAAAAAAATGTCCCCCATCCTCGGAATTTTCTGAGTACTGGGAAAATTTTCTCAGAATTTTCCAGAAATTATACCCCTTAGAAAATTTTTCCCAAAGCTGGAATTTTCCAGAACATTCTGGCTTTGAGAACGATTTTCCGAGAAAATTTCAATTTCGACTTTCGGATAGTTCCGGTTAAGAGGAATTCCGGCTAACGGAGATATTATTGTATTTGTTTAGGGGCAAATAACCCTTTGGGTAATGCAACAGGAGTAGATCCACAAAGTTGTGGAATTAGAATGGTTTGAGTGTATTGTGTCTACTGTCACATAACTTGTTAGATTCAATTAGTGATGGATTCCTTAAATCAGAGTTCTTTTTACTCTCAAATATCTTATTAGATTTATTTCCTCGTGCATTCCTTTTTCTCCAGTGGCCTTTGGTACGGATCATGCTGATAGTGATATGGTGGCTGTAGTTTTCATGTCACATGGTGAACAAGACATCTTGTGGGGTAGAGATGCCCATTTCAAGGCTGATTTCCTGTTTGAAAGCTTTCATGGAGATCAGTGTAAGACACTTGCAGGGAAACCAAAGCTGTTTTTCATACAGGTAAGACTGACATGTATGTAAAATACTTTTGCATGTCATGATGAGTAACTACCTTAACACTGAGTGGTTCATGTTGGCCTATTATGAATATGAACACAAAGATTACTATATATCTTGACATACAGTTGGGCCTTCTTGTAAGAGCAAGACAAACTTGTTATGGTAGGTTGAAAAAATTGATAAAGGTTCTTACATCTTTGTTCCATCCTGCATGTTTTATTCTGCTCACCTTCCAACACCTTTCACCTTCTATCCATAATCAACATGTCTTTCCAACTAAATATTAAGATTCATCTTGTAAATAATCAGAAAAACATTGTGTTTCAGTTACATCTTCATATATTATCTCATACAAATATCTTTCATCTTACCCGTTGTCTATCCCTCTTGTTTTATTTGTACATATTCACCATTTCTTATTCGTGCATTTACTTCCATTTGTCATTCATGCTCTACTGTGCAGTATATAGTCACAAAAAGGTAACAGGATTTCATGATTAATAAAATGGAAACCCATCAATATTCTAAGCACAAAGGAACTTTGTTTACATTAATGTCTTTTTTTTTTTATGGGGATTAGCCCACCCGGGCACAGGTCACTGACCCACATCGGGGCCTGGGGGTCGAAAATTTAATAATAATAGTGATTCATAGTAAATAAAATTTATAATAAAAAGTAAAATAAAATAATAATAATAATAACAACATTGTAATAATGATAATAAAGAAAAGAAAAACAATAATCAATAGTGAGAAATGCTATATATATAGTATGTTGTCTTGTCAATAGTAAGAGAAACAATTGAGATCCTGCAATTGTGTGTAAATGAGGCAGAAAGACAGATCAGCAACCTGGGACTTGGTCACAATATTCGTGATGCCATATGGCAGCAGGGTCTACCATTAGACAACACATTATGCTTCCAATATCTTCCCAGGCGGTAGTACCTCCCTGTTTGATAGCTGCCTGCTACCTACTACCTACTATTTGCAATGTAAAAATGTGATATGAAGGGAGGTGGGACATTGATTAAGTTTTACCTTGAATATTTTCTGGAGATGTATAGGGTATTATGTGTTCCTAAAGCTTCTATATCCAATATGAATGTCAAAGGCAATCTCATTGTCTCGGCTAGACAGCATAGCATAGGTACATTGCATTTCCTCGAGGGCTTTGCATCTTCTGTGGCTTTCCCATGGGGTATTATTCCACATTCTGTCCTGCAAAGAAACAACTAATCCTTGACTTGCACTTTATTGAGTCATTGTTTGGATAAGTAAACTAATGATGAACTGTATGTACGGCTTTGGGAAATTTTAAGGTTAGTATCCTTGACCATAACTCAAAATTATTTTAAAGTCGGGTTAACTTCCTTTTGAGTTAGAATACAGTATCACATTAATAGTTGGAAATTTACTGCCACCTTCTCCCATGTCATGCTGGCCTTAGGTAGTTGGCATACATAGTGAAGGACATCTGGTTGTAAATGAAAGATTGATCCTGAAATTCTATTTTATGGCCAAACCCAGAGTTAGACCACTCAGAACCCTGTCTCCACCTTTGGGTAAGTGTAGAGATGTGCCAGAAATGAATGAGGTTGAACCTGGAAGACCTTAATATTAGGCTAACCCAGAGAACAGGCGATGTGTAGTTGTATCTTTCATGTTGGCACTTGCAGGAGAGGGATAAATTTTGAGCTTCTAATGACCCCTTTATATACACATCCCCCTCCCCCCATTTATTCTGGCTTATCTGGGCAATAGCTTAGGCATTTTCAAAGCTGACATTTGGACACAAAACTGACCAAATGATGTCAACCCCCCTCCCCCCCTTTTTTCCCCCCTCCATGGCGTGGCATGGGAGGTGTACAATGAGTATACCACTACATGCTAGGACAATTGTTGCTCTTTAGAAGATTTACAAAATGTTATGATTAGTCCCAGCCACTAATGTCAAGGCTTCTTGGGTCCAAGACTGTCAGCTTAGTGTGCATGTATAGCTACTTGAGCTGTCTACTACCAGGTTAGGCCATGAAATGAGATTTCAGGAATAATCTTTAATGTTTCCATTCTCTCTCTTTTTCCAGGCATGCCGTGGAGATGGTTTAGATGCTGGTGTAACACTGGTGCGCTCACGCCCAAGTGATGAGACTGACTCAGGTTACTTAGCATACAAGATACCCAACACAGCTGATTATCTAATTTGCTGGTCCACTGTGCCAGGTAAGCACAGAAAAGTTCTGACACCAACCATTGAGATGCTGAAATTTTATAGATAGTTGGGCTTAACAATGCATTTTGTGTAAATCATAAATTTATTCATATAAATTCAGAAAGATTGTCTTTACTTTGCTTACTAAGTTTATATAGCCTTTTCCTCTTTGTCCAAGTCAGGAGGCCAAAGTAAGACAGGAGCTTGAGCATATACAGGGGGGATTATAAGAGTGACAGCATATCCTTATACATGTAACATCCAAGACCTAGTCGCAATGTTTGACATGTGGTGAAAAATTATGTATGTTGAATAAGGGACTACAAAAATGTAATAGTTTGCATTTATACCTCAAGAAATATAAATACAGGTACAGTACAGGGGGTCCTTGAAATTCCAGGCTACTGTAGTACAGGTTGAACCTCCCTAATCCGGCACCCTTTGGACCTGACCAGTGCCGTACTATAAAATTTTCTGAACCACAGGTGGTCTTTGTAAAATACATCGTATTATTGATCATATTTAAAATTTTGCACCTATTGTTTCTCTGGGCACGCTACGCTGTCCTAAGGGCAAAGCTGTATTGTACATGCACTAAATGATTACTAAAATTTTTGTCTTGTGCAGACTATAGCATGTTTATATTTATATTAATCACTATCTTATAAGAATTCCAACAATGTAAATTATATTCTCCCTGGTCACTTCTGTGACATTTTATAAGCAAATAACATAAACTCAATCTAAAGTACATAAATTAACAAATAAATACTTCACTAGATCTGTGGCACCAATTGTCAAATTTGTCACTGTCACTTCCCTCCCCTCCCCTCCCTCCCTCCACCCCATCTTCCCAGCCAGGGTTGGGTGTTTTAGGCTTAAAGTTTTTATCTTATATAATGTCACAGACTAAATTAGGAGAATATAATTAGTATTGCTGGAATTCTTGCAAGACAGCAAATAATTTGAATATAAACCTCATATATTTTGCACAAGAGATAAAAAATTTTGCCATTTGTATTAAGTTTCCTATTTAGAACTAAAATTTGTATGTCTAATGCGAACTATAGCATGTTTATGTTCAAATTAATCATTATCTTATAAGAATTCCAGCAATGTTAATTGTATTCTCCCATGTCAGTTCAGTGACATTTTATAAGAGAAAAACTTAAAGTCACTCTTAAGGACAGATACATAAATAAGCACTAGACCTTGGCATCAACTGTCAAACATATCACCTCCCCCCCCTTCCCCATCTTCCCAGCCAGTAAACAGACCATTTTGCATCCCTTAATTGTAGCTGTGTTGAATTATGAGTGTTAGTTTTAACATAATACTACAAAAAACATTGTTTTGTTTATTCTAGGAGGTGGGCTGAGGTGCATCTGGGTAGACTCAGTCCTTTTTGTATTTTGTATTTCTCTCAAGTACCAAACTAAATTATTCCATTTAAACAACACTTTGATTTAGTGGGAATTCGGTTTAAAGCAGCCTCTCTTGGAAACATATCTCGTGTTATATCCACTCTCTACTGTACAGTATAATTGTAATAAACGAAAATAGATGAACAATAATTCTCATTCTGCACTTAAAATTACAAAATAGTTACGGTACACAAATTGGTGATGTTCACCAGAAAGAAGAAAAAAATATCTGTACAGTAAATTAAATAATAAAATAAATATGCTTAGGAGGCATATTAAGGGTAAATTACAAGTGAAATATTACATAAACACTTGAAATACCTAGGAACGCACCAAACTCCACGAGGACCAGATGTAAACAAAGGGTATGCTGAACCATGGATACTAGCGCCGGTGGGTACTAGCGGCCGTCTAGCAAACTAAAATTTTGCCGTACGACGGGAGGTGCCGGACAGTAGAGTACCGGATTAGGGAGGTTCAACCTGTATTAGGTTGATTGATTGTGGTAATTACATCTTGGCGACGCAACAGCTTCTTAGGTCATATGTCGCTGAATTAAAGTAAAGGCTTAAAAGACTAAAATCAAATAATTCAAGGTAAAAAACATAAGTGACAAATAGCATAGAACTTTTGTAAAAACATTTAAACGATTAATAGATAAAACACAAAGCTTGTGTAGAAGGCCGGTTTCCTCCACGAAGGAGAGGACGTCCCCTCCCACACTACCCACTCCTCCTACCAGCACCAAAGAGAGACTGTATTAGTGACTGGAAAATTGCCTCTTAAAGTAAATTCACTTTAAGTGGGGATTTTTGACCTTGGGAAGTACTGTAATGGAAATAGGGCTTGATAGAGACCATAAGAGGCTACTTTCATAGGGTTGTAGAGTGCAGGTACCCATAGTGTGTGACCCCTCATATGCGTCGGACCCCCTGAACAGTCGTTATGCTTTAGTAGTAGTATTCTCGTGCGAGCATCTCTCTCTAGCTCGGCATGTTTATCACTTGTCGGTGCTCGTTTGAGAAAAAAATATCAAATCATTACAATACTCAAATATGGCTTAGAAATAAAGAAAATATAATACAGGTATGAATCTATAAAATGAAGAGTATGGGTGTGTACTGTGTGGGAAGTGAACTTTTGTGTGTGGAGCCAGTGAGCTGTAATTTGGTCACCTACTCACCATTCCAGCCGTGATCCTTCCTTCCTCCGATGTGAGTCAGCTGGGTGGCTGCTCAGCTGAACTGTATTACATTGCCCAGAGGATGGTTTGAGTGTGGAAGGAGCTATTTTTTGTACATAAAATAATATACTGTATACTGTACTGTCCCAGTAAATATGAGGAATAAATGTAAATACTATAATAAATAAAATTAAAATAAAAAACTGCATTGCCATTTGGCAATTATTTCACTGCACAGGGGATACAGAAAACAGCCAGCAGTTGAGTTCCCCCACTCCACCCCCCCCCTCCCCTCCCCTGCCAACTCCAGCACACAAAGAGAAATTAATTCCTAAGTCATAAAAAGTTTTAACTTAGGAATTTCATTTTAGCGTCAAATAGCCACAGTCTGTGATGTCAGATATTATACTCAATCAATCAATCGATCAATCTGTGCAGTAGACCAGTGTGCATACTATAGTTATGCAATTCTAACTTGCAGTTACATTTTTCAATATGTGTTTATTTTCAGGTCATTTTTCATGGCGTAACACCACGAATGGGTCATGGTTCATACAGTCGCTGGTGCATGTGCTGAACAGGGACTCTGGCCATGATGATTTGCTCTCCATGATGACAAGTGTAAATAGACACATGATTATCAACTTTGAATCCAACTGCCCCTGTGAGTATTACCTCTTTCACCTGAGCTCATTAAGACATACAGTATCTTATTTAAAGCATACTGATATGCTTGAATTCACTTGATTGTATATCATTGGCATTACAGTAGGATTTCATGTTTTGCGAAATGAGAGACATTGAAATACATATAAATAAGCCTAATCAGTTCTGCTGTGTCACCCAAATCCCCCTGTAATGACCTACAACCCACCAAGATAATGACATTACTGTATTGTATTCATACATATTATAGTGTACATATTGTTGATAGCAATATTTATATACACTCATACTGTAAAATAACTTACCTTGATGGAATCAGTGAAATGCTTGACGGGGCTGGTTGATGGGTTCCAAGGCAGGGAGGGCTGGTTACTGCTTCCTCCCTGCTCCCTCCTCTTCACCTCCTCTAACCTCAGCATCAAATCCCTCAAAGTCTTGAGGCAGCTCTTCCACAAGTAACTCACCCAACAATTCAATATCATCATCTCCTAAAGCGATGTTTGCCAAATGAACAGGCTGGGCCTTGCACAGGTACCGAGTGATAAGGGCCTGCTGACGAGCATTACTACGGGACATGTACAAGGTCTTATATTCCTCCATACCCTTATCAAGGGCAGAGCACACAAGGTTCCGAGGATGAAGCCTGGTATCGTATTCTTCTAGCTGTTCACTGAGACGTGCGATGTTTGTGAGAAACTCGGTCAGCTGGCATGTTGTAGGTTCACCAGGCTTAACGTCATCCTCTTTTATTGGTTGCTGTTCTTCTTGTTCTTCATCATCCTCCAACATTTCTTCAATTGTCGGTTGCTGCTGATTTTGACCAACGATTTCTTGCAAATCTTTAACCTGAACATCCGAAAATCCCGGTGCTGGGACTGAGCGCGCTGCCTCCACCGTGTCCATTAGTGTTGCCACCATGGACTGCTTCTCTCCGCTTGCCGCGGTCTGCTCTGCCCCACTTATCTCGGAGTTAGCAAACAAAGGCTTCCATGCGTGTAGCACTGCTGCAACATTAATTTTACGCCATGCCTCAACAATTCTGTCCACTGCATTTTTAATATTATTTTTCTTCCAAAATTTACAAACTGATAACACTTCATGGTTGCGGGGTGGTGAGGTGCTAGGAGTCGGGTCGTCTACCATCTCCTCTTCCTGATTAGCTGGTAGATCCTGGTCACTGTCAGAGAGTTCTGCCTCAATTTGTTGTAACTCAACTAATGAGTCTGTCGGCTGACGAAAATCTTTATAGAGTGACTGATAGTAGAACAGTTTAACATTACTGATGAATTCGTGGTCAAGTGGCTGCAGAAGCGATGTGGTGTTAGGAGGAAGGAAGATAACTTGTACATTAGGGTGGTGTCCAATTAGAAACTTGGAGTGTCCAGGAGCATTATCCATCACCACGATCACTTTGAAGTCAATGTTCTTTCTCCGGCATTACTGTTGGGCGTCAGGAACAAAGTGCTTGTCAAACCAATCCGTGCATAAAGAGGTTGTAACCCAAGCTTTCTTATTAGACGTCCAATAAACATTGAACTGCGACATATTGGCATGACGGTAGGCTCTAGGACGGGCAGCACGGTTAACAATTAGGGGTTTCATATCACAAAATCTCCACTAGCATTAGCTGTGAATAAAACTGTAATCCTGTCCTTTGAAGTCTTTACACCCCTTGCCTGTTTTTCATCCTTGACAATGAAAGTGGTCCTAGGTGAGTGCTTCCAGAAAATACCAGTTTCTTCACAGTTGAAGATCTGGTCTCGGTAATAACCACCCTCTTTCACAAGAGCTTGAAAGACAGGTGGATATTTTTCTGCTGCTATGACATCAGCTGATGCACTCTCCCCATGGTAGTGGGCAAATTTGACTTCATAACGCTTCTTAAAGGCAGCCAACCAACTAAAAGAAGCGTTGAACGGTGGTGGAGAGTCAACACGTTTCTTCTGTGCAACTGCAACATAATAATCACGTGCTTGATCTGTGGCCCAGACAGGTCGCCTTGCTCACGGTTTCTTCTTTCCACCCACTTGTGAAGGTAATATTCTGTGATAACTAACAGTAGATTTCGTAATGAAGTATCGGAGAACGTCCTGCTACTAGAAAATCTTGAGAATATATTCACAGAAGCAGTTAAGGCTTCCTTGTTCTTCTTAAGTGAACGTATGGTTGATTTGGGGCAATTGAACCTACGTATAATTTCACAGGTACGAGCACCACTTTTGATCATTTCAAGCATCTCTTGTATCATTTCAAGGGTGTATTTCCTCTTCTTGACCCCCTTACAGTAGTTACGCTTCGCTTGGGACTTTCCTTGTTGACCTTCTCTACAGCCATCATTACCACCAGAATCGCTCCCGACATTTACATTACGCACTTCACTCATCGTTAATGCACAAGAATCATTCATAGTTAAACAAGAATCTCGCGAACCGTAAGCACAATGAGTTATATATTCCAAGGTCACTGCACCGCTCGCTTATTCAAACTAACTGCCGTTACACCGTAAACAAAAAACACTCGGCGGGTCGGTGGATAACAAAAGACTGTGACAATGCGCGCTGTCCACTCAACAATGACTCGCGAAACTGGTAATGAAAATCGCGTATCTAAAACTCGTTAAACTTGAAATCCTACTGTAATTAGAATTACTGCATAAAATTTTTAGTTTGTTGTGGAAAATCAAAATCCCTTTGTAGAATAGTGAGATATTACATGTACAGTACTGTATTTTATTCATACAAATTTTGAAATCTAACAAAATATTTTTACTAAGAGGTAATATCTCGATTTGCCGGAACAATTGGTGCAGAGCACTTCCGAGAATGAGAGATTTCCAGGTAACGAGACTCCTCTCAAAGCCGGAAAAACCTTCATCCCCGGAATTTTTCGGGTAACGGAAAAATTCTCTTGGAAATTCCAGAAATTTCCCATTACATAATCTCTTGAACCAGGAAAAATACCCCCCATACCCAGAAAAATTTTCTGAAAAATGGGCCTGATTTTTACTTCTCAAGCCTGGAAAAAACTCCACCATCCCCAGAATTTTCCAGGTATCAGGAAATGTTTATCGGAATTTTCTGGAAAATGTGCTCTCTCTCTCTCTCTCTGAAAGAAAGTGAAACTTTTGACAGGGATGTGTTATGTCCCTGTGGTTGTTCAGTACCCTGTATAGACATGGATGTGAACTATTATGCACTTGTGAAAGTGATGATGATAAGCTTTCTTACAGGGCTGCACACATCTCAATTCCTGATTATAAGGGAGCCAAGTTGCCACTGTTCAGTATAACTGGTGACTGATTCTGTTTATGGTTGAACTCTGGGCCTCTGATTCAAATGTATTCAGATTATGTGAGGCATCCCGCATCGTAAGGTGCTTTATAATAATAATAATAATAATAATTAACGGTTTATTGAAAGAGCTTGGCAGCCAGAAGGCTGAAAATATACAGTTACATATTTGGGGAATGGGTTACGAATTACAAATAATATACAAGTGACATAAGTGACACAAATAAGACATATAGTAACTTAGATGGGGATCAGCTCAAAATACAGTTCATTTCAACATAGTGACAGTGTAGGGAGCAGTGTTTACTGGGAGTGAATACACTGATTTATTACATGTTATTGATAATTTTTACAATGGTTGGGACTGGGCTGTTCTTATAGCGATCAGTTCGTGCACGTATGGGCTGGATGCGGTTGTGGTGTCGAACAGCAATTCTCGGACAGGGGATCTCAGGTGGTAGTAGGGGCCGGTGTCGGGGATGGTGTAGAAGCTTCTTACCAAATTTGCAGATGAGGCCGTGGTGATGGTCAGTGAGAGTCGAAAGGGTCAGTGTGTTGAGCGCTTCTTGATATGTGGAGTAGGAAGGGGAGAGAATAATCTTGCATGCCCTCTTTTGCACTTTTTCTAGGTGTTTACGTTGTGTGGCATTTAGGGAGGAAGACCAGGTGGGGGAGGCATAGGTGAGCTTGGGAAGTATGAATGTTGTGTATACACTGAGGAGCTCGTGTGCGGGAACTCCGAGGGACTTGAGTCGGCGGAGGAGGTGGAGACGGAAACTGGAGGATTTGACAACTTCACTGACGTGTGGTTTCCAATTTAGTTTGTTGTCTATGGTGACGCCGAGGAGCTTCGTGGAATCTACAACCTGGAGTGTGTTCGGACCTAGGGTAATGGAAGGAGGTGGGACAATGTCGGAGGAGAGGTTGATGTGCATAACCATTGTCTTGGTATGGTTGATGGTGACATGGTTGTTGGTGGCCCAGTTTTGGAGACTGTTCAATAAATCCTGAAGGGCGGTATAGTTGGGAGCGGAATTGTTGACGCTGATCCCAATGGTGGAGTCGTCGACATATTTCCAGCGAGCAGGGGTTTCTCTTAGGGCATCATTGATGAGCATAAGGAAGCAGAGTGGTCCCATCTTGGTGCCTTGGGGGACGCCACAGATGAGTGACTGAAAGGTGGAGACAGCCCCTCGGAAGCGTACAGCTTGGCGTCGGTCACTGAGGAAGTCTGTAAGCCATGGTATGAGACTTCTCCGAAGCCCGAGGTCAATAGCTTTGTTTATGATTATATTGTGGTCGACTAGGTCGAACGCTTTAGTGAAATCAATGAAGGCGACAGCTACAGACGTTTTTCGTTTCTCGAGATGGCGGTATATGTAATCGAGAAAGCTGACAAGACAGTGAGTGGTGGAGGAAGTTTTCATGTTGCCAAATTGCTGAGGGTCTACGACTCCTGCAATATCAGCATAAGCCCAGTCAAACACAAAACTTTCACAGATTAGGCTGGGTATTGGGGTGATTGCAATAGGTCGTAGCTGATTTAAGGATTGTGGGCTGGTTGACTTGGGCACTGGTGATACATAAGAGGTCTTCCAGTCAGCTGGGCATCTGGCTTGACTGAGAGAAGCATTGATGATGGAGCAGAGGGGTTTAGCAAGCTCCGGGGAGAACTCCTTGAATAGTTTCATTGGTAAGTCAATGGGGG